AACTATGTCATCGGCGTATTCTAAGTCAACAAGCGAGTCTCCTGGTAGAAGGTCCACTTTTGAAAAGTTAGACGATGATAATGTTAACTCTAAAAACATGTCTACGAAAAAGTCAAACAAGAATGGAGTGAGTGGACATCCCTGACGGGCACTACTTGAAGTAATCGATTCCGATGACAGTTCACTGTAGGATCTCACTCAACCAAAAGTGTTCGATTAGAGAGCTTGTATAAGGTTAATGTACTTCTCTGGTACACCTTTCAATGACACACACCGCCATTGAACCTCACGATCGACAGAGTCGAATGCCACTTTAAGGTCCTGGAAGACAATTATAGTTGGACGCCTAAATGTGTTTCTGTGTTCCAAGACCTGTCGTAGTGTGAATATGTGGTCTATACAGCCACGTCCAGGTCGAGAACCAGCCTGGCTTTCTCGAGTATGCTTTTCACAAGCTCTGGTTAGGCGTCTGAGCATTATCGAGGTTACCGATTTAGACACTATTAGTTAGACTACCCGACCATGATTGTCACAAGAGGACTTTCGTCCTTTCTTGTAGACTGGGACAATCAGTGATTGAGACCAGTCGCATGGTATTTCGCCGTTCCCAGATCCTACCTAAGATCTCAGTCAATCTAATTGCTAAAACTGGACCACCATCCTTAAAAATCTCAGGAGTCAATCTATCGGGTCCTGCTGCTCTCTCTCGCTTCAGATTTCCAATAGCCTTTTCAACTTCATAAAGGTTCGGAAGGCTTACGTCGAATTGCCGTTCAGGATGACTGGAGATCGTGGGTAACCTAAGTGTGGCTGAAGGCCAATCGAACTAATCCCTAAAATGTTCTGTCCGTCTATCCAATCTCCTGGATTAAGAATGAATAATAGTCCCATCCTTTTCTGAAATAGTCTTACTTACATTCGGGTTCCTAATACCGGTTTCCTTGATGAGTCTCTTAAGTAGTCTACTGTTGCCAATGACGTCACCTTTTCCATCTCTATCGCTTTCGCTACCCACCACTGTTCTCGATCACTGCGTAGACTTTTTATTAGCCTGCGCCTAAGCTGACTCCACTCTTCGTCGTACTCAGAGCGAGGTGGGATGAGTTTTCGAGTGTCCATCAGTTCGGTAAGTGCTAATGAAATCCACCGCTTCTCCCTAAACCTATGGTTTACCTTACAAGCAGATATCACTACTGTTTCCACGGCCTTTTTGACACCATTCCAACCTGCCTCAGGGTGGACATCACTTTATACACGGCTGCCTAACTTTTTTCAAATTGTTCCTGAAATATATTCTTTGCTTTGTTGTCATTAAGTAAAAACCCAAAGAGGTTTCCTTGCGATATCTTTCCTACATCCAATAAACCTCCAACAAATACGTGTTCGCACCAGAGCATGATCTGAGTCTAAACAAGTGGCCCAGAATGAGCGACAGTCTTCAATAGAGTCTCTCCACCGATGTGATCTGGTTGTGTCAAGCGTTGGAACGACTTTGGAGGTCGCCATGTCAAAAGACGTTTTTCCTTGTACTTAAAGTTTGTTTTTGCTAGGAATAGGCGCCCATCTGCAGCAGACAGTCGCCATTATCTGTTCGATCAGCCGCGATACCATAAGATCCATCCACGTGTCTTTCCTTTACACTGAGTCTACCTACTTGAGCATTAAAGTCACCAGATACACGGGGAGTAAGTCAAGCTACTTCTTCATTTTGACGTGGAATCAAATTAATGATTTTACTAAGATCCTGTATGCGCGTTTCCGAGATGCATCTTACATCTGTGCAGTGAGATTCCAAGGTCCTAGCTAGGAAAGCCTGTTGTCCTATTTGACACAGTGTCCGGACACTAAATGCTCCAACATATAGTTCTAACCCTCTCCTTCCTTGTGAGAAGGCAGCATTGTTGCAGATGCTGGTTGTCCGAGGGAAACACCTTACTGCTGTCACACCCATCTACATTCAACACTACTTCACACTCAGACTTGGAATAGCTGCTTTTAGTCTCATCGTTCTCCAATCGACCTGCGTGGCAAGGTAGAACCTACAGGAACATATGTTCCAGCCAACAGAGATCACGATAGGCAAGCCCGATCACCACGTCAAGGTAGTAGCTACAGTTGGGGTATTGCGAAGTTCTTACCATTGAGGGGGCTTTGAAAGCTTTCGTTGGTGAGAAATCAATATGAGTTCTAACGAATCCCCTACGTGCTACTCGTCTACGTTTTTTACCTAATCCCATTACACAACAACAGATGCAGGAGAAGACGACCGGTGTGGCATTAGTAGGCCTTAACATGCACAAGTGAAAAAGCAACATCCTCCGATACAACACAAAATGCACCAACCAAATGACACTTAACGAAAAGGCTTTGGAGGATGTAGAAAGCTTTATATGTCTGAGTAGCATCATTGATGAGCAAGGTGAGTTTGATGCAGATGTGAAGGCATACGTTTTCAAGCTGCGGCAGTATTTCTATGATGGAAGAACATCTGCTAGTCAAAACAACTACCAACAAACACCAGTCACAATTTTCAATGAAAACGTCAAGACAGTTCTATAATATAAGGCAGAAACTTGGAGAACCACAAAAGCTATCAGTCAAAGATACTCTGAATCCGTTGGCTAAATATTATCAGCAACAACCCACTGTGGGAATCACAAGGCACGCTCTCAAGGCAAAAGGGATACACTACGCCAAGGATTGGAAACAAACATGAATGGGATGAACAGCAATTGGATAGAACTAAAAACGAAGGTTCAGGAAATAGTTAGTTGGAGAATCTAGTCGGCAGCCTATGCTTCATTAGGGACAACAGGTGTATGTAAGTAATCACAAACCTAGTACTATCGGATCTATGTTTGAAACTGACCAGAACCACGTAACTATTTGCAGTGCTTGCTACGGATCGAATTCAAGTGGCTATCGAGCAACTAATAACATTCATAAAGCCATCATGAGACTGGCCACGCATGCATTTTGACAAAACAGCATAACAGAGCATATACGGTATTAGGATGGTGAAACAGTTCACTAATTCTCTTCAAGTCAAACGTATATCTATGATTCTTACATCAATATTGGAAAAACTGGTGCTATGTTGAAACTTCCTAGTTTTGCAACAAGAATGCTAATTTAAGATGGCAAGGGGTTAATTATAATAAGATAGCACCATACCAGCGGACTTCTGTAACACAGCCTGAAACTCATCTCCAAATCAAAATTAAGATTATAAATCTACATGGAATAAGACCAAAAGTTTTTTACTACGTCGTGGGTTACAAGGAATAGCTACTAAACTCAGAAGCACAGATACCGTGTACAGTTGGCAGACAGATTCAAGTAACTCAAAATTTGCATTCAAGGCAAAAGTCGCTATACAAAAATTAACCTCAGGAACGTCTAATACATACGAGGATATGAAGTTATTGAGAGTAGACAGCATCTCAAAATACTGAAAACCTTATGGTTAAACTCATTATTCTATTTTAACAACTCAACACATCAAATTCAAAAGATTTATTCCATGAAATAATATGTTACACATGTACTTTAACGCTTGCCACCAACTCTAGGAGCTGCCTTCTGAGTAATCTTTGTAGCTTTTTGTTTTGAAGGAGCTACTTGTGGTTTTTTCTTTTCAACCTTCTTTACTTTCTTCTCCAATTCTTTTTGCTTTTGTTTTTCTTTAGCTGCACTAAATAAAATTTAGATTTCCTGAGAAAATATCAACTTACCGTATAGCTTGATCACGCATTGCTTTACGAACTTCCGGCTTTTGATTACGTTTAGCCATAATTTCAGCTAGACTTGCACCAGCAATACCTCGAGCACTTTTGGTGACACGTTTAGTTCGTTTTTTAGTCAATTCTTCACTGATGCCTTTTTTATACTTCCTTCGATAAAGCACAGTCCAACTGATCTCACGTGGATTACGCTTTAAGTAATGTGATCGTTCGCATTTAGAGTTAATGAAATAAAACCCACGGCCATCAATACGAATAACACGTTTACCATGGCCTGGATATACCTTGAAGCCACTATAAGAACAGACTTCTAACCTAAAAGTTACAAATTATATTTTTCAGTAACTCAGATAAAGATACAGATTTGAAGTAAATAAAGATTCCTAGACATATAAGCGCCAAATTCAGGAATTAATCAAACATTATAAGGTGAGCACTGATCGTCATGCGAAACCAATTCTAGGAGACAGTGAAGAAGATGGGATATGATGGACACTACAAAATCTAAAATACTAACAAGTAATTCAGTAGAATAAATGAAGCATTCTGACAGTTGGCTTTTGTTCGACACGAACTTCTTGCATAAACAGCCGTTAATTATCTACACAGCGATTGCTGAATATGCAATCATTATATAAACTGGTATAACTTTAACAGGTGTTAAGAAAAATATGATTTTAACCTACGGAACAACAATCATAATTGACACATTACTATAACCACTTAAGTTATTGAATTCAAGAACGAGCCTAAGTAGACTGCTTGGTGATTACACCATGCACATATACTTTATTAATAAATCTACTGATTAATGGTAAACTAGCAGTAGCTACTACACATTGACAGATTTGACATGAACTAAAAAGCGTTGTCTATAATCAAAATCTTTACTTTACCCAGGGATCTTAATCCCTAATTCTAAAAACGCTAGCACGTTTATAAATGAACCATCTAGTGAAAAACCAAACCCACTTCATCCTCGTGGTATCAACCGCCCTGCGAGTGAGTTAAACAAGCGAGCATATAACATTACTCGTTTTAAACAAAAAAGGTGTGGGTGTGTTTAATTCTTTTTCTCAAAACTTATACATCAATAATTTGTTTCGCAAGTCATCAAAAATGTACATTTAGGCCCATTTTTCAAATGGTACGGCTAACCAATCAAAATGTTGTAGATTTAAGTGAGAAGTTTCAGCAAAATTACGAATTCTAAACTTGCTGGTTTCATAAGTTGATTTTCACAAAGGAGCATGCTATCCGTTGTTGGCAAGATTGTGGCGAAGCTGAATAAATCTCAAAAAGCTTCAGCTTCACATAATGCTGCCAATAACTATGGCATTTCCCTCCGAAAACTTACTAACAATACGTTCGTTTGACCGGTAAGTCCAAATTGATATAATCAAAACTTACTTATCAGTCACGAAACTTTCCAAAGCTATATGTTATACCGTAATTCCAGCTGAAAGAAGAGCATTATGTGTGATGGTTTACAATTACATGTTGTAGGATTTACCTGGATCAGTTCCCTGTCATTTCATAATGTTGGTTGACATATTCGACGTTAGTTCTCAGTTTTAGTTACTTCTGGTCTATCACATGATGTTACGGTGTGGTAATAGCTGAGAATTTGTCTACCATGCCTATCATACGGTCGAGCCAGATCCTCAAAACAACATAAATTCATGGTAGTTCATGCCCTCCTGCTGAAGTTCCATCCTGATGGCATCTTTAGTTGCGTTGCGCCTAGTGGAACTATGAAAAGAGGACAGGACCCGACGGGTTCTACCGCTGTAGCCTAGCGTCAACGCTTAGCAGTTGTTGACTAACTTTTCCAACATTATAGACCTCAAGTGCTTTATCACTTTTGTATCTCCTGTTTACGAAGGCAGTGTTAACAGATCTAAAAAACTCACTCTCGTCGAATCTTGAAAATCGCCCTCTACAGACAGAACGTGAAGCCAAAGCAATCAGGTTTTATACAGGTCAGTGATCGAGGGCCTAATCAGTTTTAATAGCTTCCTCAGTACCATAAGCCAAACCTACTAGGAGTTTCTTCAATTATAGATAATTTCCATTACAGATTTGCCTGATACTTATGTTATGCCACGTGAGGGCTTTTCCTTCCTATGTGTTATAGAAGTAAATCTCCAATGCATCAGCGCTGATAAGCCATCAAATTATCATTTGACGAACTAGATATGCGGTTTGGGTAGTCACAGTGTCCTAATTGTTTATATGAAAGCCATAAATTTGGAACTTAGCCAAGCCAAAGAAAGGTTTGTAAATTTGTGGCTTATTTGTTGAACAGCTTGTGTGAACTTTTTGAATCATATTTGTAAAGAACTATTCTTAGTATAGAGGTAATAAGCACTAAAACGCTGAAAACGGTCACCACTCTTGAGGAAAATTAATAAGTTGAAGGTAGAAGGATGCGTACGCTTCTTTCTTACTACGCAGATGTATCTTGAAGGTTGTATTCTCGTAGTATACTGAGCGACAGAATAAACAGAATACCTTTATTCATATTTATCACCACGCCAACCAAACCTATGAGAACTATTCAAGCAGAGAAAAAACTGAATGAATGTATATCTCTAATCTCTGGCTTCTTTTAAGTATGAATCTGGGACTGCAGGACATCAAAAGCACAACATTCTGCTCTCATGATTTGTTTAGTTGAGGTAAATCGGCTGGTTAGCGATCTCTCCTACGTTGATTGGTCCGTGGCATTGTATAATCCTGTTCAATGTTATCCAGTATTCAGAGGTTCTTAGTTTAATGTCATTTTGTGAAGGTGACTATATTGAAACATTTCAAACTTGTTAAAAATAGATCATCTCTATGAAACATATTATAGCTAACGGCTAAGTCTGAAAAGAACTTGTCAATAACATGACCTGATATAAAATTAGTTTGCAGGGTTCAAAACTCTAGAAACTAGATGTCAATACCTGTGTCTTCATAGATTGGTTGATACAAGATGGCTAGTCTCACGTTTAACAGGGGTTGATTTCTCTCTATTGACTAATCCTTGTATGGTCTCAGCTCTCCAAGAACTGTGACGTAAATACCTTGATAGTAATTTTTTCTGAACATGACATTGATTGGTTGCGAGTCGTATAAATGCAGCGCTCTTCTTGAAAAACTCAAGGAATGCATCTCTGACAAGTATGAACCCTAGTTCAAGCATGGCTTTCTTCTGACTGCTACAAAATATTTGTCACTTTCATCAGCTGGGATAGATGTTGGAAAGCAATGAAGTCTAGGGTGAGCATTTCGTCCTATTTGGGACTTGTCACTTGAATATACCGGCATCCTAGAGCTTGTGTTCTCTCCGGAACTCAAACCCACTTCCGTTCGCCTAAAGGATTAATCGGTTTTTGTCCTAAGCAATAATGGTAAGACTCACACATCCAATATTTGTGAATAACCTGTAAGAATTATTGGGTGTTCATCTGAAACCGAAACAGATTTCTGCCCGATTAATCATATCTCTGGGTTCGCCTACTAGCTGATAATAGAAATACTAGTTAACCATAAAATGACATTTTCTCATCTAATCATCAACAGTGAATGACTGTCTGTTTCTTTATTTCAAAAGACATTGAGTGTCCATTAAATTGCAAACAGTACTATAAAAACTGTTTAGCAAGGTTCGTTTTTTGTTTTGTGCATTAGCAGTTTATGTTTCAATGTCCAATCTTGATAATTAATGAATTGATTATTCGTTAGCTGTTTTCCTTTATTGAGATAAGATCATGGTTACTCTCATAATGATTCATATATATATGAATACATATCTGTTGGTTTCTTTCATTTACCATATACAATTGGCATCATTAACTGAATAATTTGTGTAATTTATTTTACGATATAAATAACTGAACCAGTTTTTCTCTATCTTATGTTTATTCATAAATCACCCTAAATTTGGAGACAGACAATAAAATGGAATCCTATAATAAGGTCAAAAATTGATTAACTAACCGAATCTCAAAATGTAATTTCATTGTCTCTATTTTTCAGTGATTTTATTTTATTAAATTTCAGTATGAATTTATGCAGTATATTTTTACTATTAAAATAACAATGATAAACAGTTTTACAAATCCATGCGCATTTATAATTGATGGAGGTTATTCTGAATGTACATTATGTCGACTTCTTTAACCACAATGTCGATATCTATTTGACTGACTATGCAGTCGACAACCGCTTGATAGAGTTTTTCAGAAATTCGTTTCAACATGCAGAAAAGGTGTTTTACAAATAAAAACTCCATACAAATTAGAGAGAGTTTTAATCAGGAAGTATAAAATATGAATACAACATCATCTTGATCCTCAAAAAATTAGATGACGAATCTTTATGTCATGCTGAAAAAGAATATTTCTATCTCGTTGAAGAGTTTCAAATCAAAAAACGTTTTCAAGTTTTCCATTTGTTTGCTATGTAAACTGTCTTTTCTTTCAAAACGTCTCCAATGACTTTTCTACGTCAGTTTTATCAGAGAAACGATCTCGTCTGAAGTCTAAATTTCAGTATGTGTCAGCGAAAGTATTTTGCATTTAGAAACAGTCAAAAATATTGAAATACATGTATATCTGCTACGAATAATCATATGTATATCTGTCATTTGAACTAGCATTTGGAATTCTGTATCTGGATCCAACCTATTAAAATAAGAAAATAGTCAGCATCATTTGTATAGAGATATCAAGCGGCTGTATGTAGTCGATGGAAATCCTCAAAAGATCTTAATTTTGCTGTAGTTACCAATCATCACCAACTGTCTACTCTAAATCTTTAGAGCGACAAAGCATTTGTATAGATTTTTCAGTCTTTCTGTCATTTGATATTCGTTTTAGACAGAAAATTCCTCCTTAATATGAACTGAACAAAAGTCTCTGTGTGTGCTTGTGAATCATCAGTTTGCATGTGTATAACAAATCAATGAAGTACTAACTACCTATTCGAATTCATTTTTAGTAATGCCATTAATACAACACCTGATGACCTAAAAATCAGTCAGTCTATTTTTTTGTTTTAGTGTACTGTTAAACTTTTAAAAAGACAAATGAATAATGAATGGCTAAAAATCTTCTGACATTTACATTTCAATATAAAATCTACTTTAAAAAGAAACCTGATGGTGTATTCGACAAAATTTTTCCAATGCAGACAAATTGTTTTCAAAAGTTATTGTTTCTAAAATATTTTCACAATTATTTTAAGTCGGAAATTTCTGCTCATCTCAATAAATTAAGACTAATTAAAGAAATCATATGAGCCAACTTAATCTAATCAAAATCTTTCAATCAATCACTGCTTCTGAAAATCTGTCAAGCCAGATGTACTCGTCAATTGATATACTTGAGTGCCATTACGAGTTCACCTTAGTCGGTAAACCAGAGCGAAGACAAATGATCCAGTTACATGATAGGCTACTCTAATTCGAGCGTCCCAATGCTCCACTAAGTATAGGAACAGGTCTTGATAAGGAGTAGGAAGTGTATTCTACAAGCACCCCGAAAATATGAGATTCACAAGCACACAAATGGAGTTTGTTTATACAGCAAAGAAACATCCTTGGGAGAGCCACAAAAATAGCGTACTAAAATAGCACATCAACCAATAACAGACAAGGATTCTCCGGGTGGAAAATGTAATCTCAAGGTCAACTGATCAGGCCGTGAGCGAAACCACAAAATCCAAAATGAGGAACTTTATTAAGTGAGTTCTGGGGAATCTAACATCCCCAACACAAACATATAGACTTCCCAACTTTTAGCACACCTTATGGTTGGTTGTTTAATTGAAATCTTGCTTTAAAAAATCAGTTAAAATTTAACTATAGTATATTTGGATGTTTGAATGAACAAACATTGGATAGAACTAGAAAGGGGAGCCCAGGACAGAGTTGGTTAGAGGAAACTGGTGGGCGGTCTATGCTCCATTGGGGGTGGTAACAGGCGTAAGTAAGTAAGTAAGTAACATTTGGATTTAGTACATAGTCACTTATTGAT